ATGTGGTGCTGGGGGATTGAACCGCGGTCCCTGTGCTTTGCTAAGCTTAGCTTGTTCTAAGTAGGTGCTTTAGACCACTGAGCCATCTCACCAGCCCACCAATGTGTTTAAGTACACCATGATATTCTTTCTTGACTCCATGAGACAAAGAGCTCTCGGGGAACTTAAGCCAGTCTTTTTTTCACAATTTCAATGAAATAGAGAAAAAAGAAAGCAGGTAAAAGCAGGAAGGCAAAACTGGGAGGGGCCAGGGAGATGGCTCATTGGAATAAGCGCATCCCTGGCAAGCGCATGGGCCTGAGTTCAATCCTGGGAAATTTGAAAGAACCGTGAGTCTGGGTGTTGCATAGCAGTGCATGCCTGTTATCCCAGCACTGAGGCTGAGGCAGGAAGATCCTGAATCTGAGGCTAGCTTAGCAGCAGCACAGCCCTGTCTGAAGGAACCACTCTGAGATGAGGCAGTTCTGCCCAGAAAACAAAGTAGTGAGAAGCCTCAACCTCTGCAAGCACTGCTTCATTCACAGCCTGAATTAGCACTCACTTTGGGGCTTGCTCACTCAGCTCAGGGTCTGACCATTCAGCCAGGTCCTGTGATCCAGGGACCTGGAGATGCCAGGTGTGGTGGGGCGTACCTGTGGTCCCAGGGCTTGGGAGACTGAGACAGAAGGTTTGCTGCAACTTTGAGGCCAGGATGGGCTACATAATTCTTCAAGACCAGCCTGATCTACTGCACAGCCAGACTTCCTCTCAAAAACAAGTAAAATGACTTGGAACTGAGGTGTTAGAAGTTAGAAATAGGCTTCTAAATCCCCTTCCTACTTGCATGAGATTCTTCAGAAACTAAATCATAAACATAGACCAGGGGGCCTGGCCCTAGCTCAGGCCTTTAAGTGGCTGCTTCCACAAAGCTGTCAGCTTCAGGTTGCTGGAGTTCCAACCTCACAACTCTCCCGCTGGTCAAAAGTGCCCTGAAGGCATTCGAGGAACAACAACAAAAAAAAATCCTTGGGCTGGTGAGATGGCTCAGTGGTCT